GTTAGTCTTAACAGTGTTGGACTTCTCTGTGCACCAGCAAACGTAGTGTGAGTGCACAAGCAGGTGTTGTGTGACACTGAGCAGCACTGGGAAGAAAGTGACCCAATGCCAGCTGTTCATTTTCTGGGGCTGCCCTACAACGTGCCACAAACTGGGTGGCTTAAAACAATGAAAATGTGTCCTCCCACTGTTTTGGAGGCCAGAAGTCAGAAATCAAGCGTCAGCTGGGCCCCGTGCCCTCTGAAGGCTCTAAGAAAGGATCACCCTTGGCTGCTTCTGTGGGTGCCTAGTTCCTAATGTGGACCCCTGGGCTGTCGACGCCCCTGGGCTGTGTTCATGCATTTCTGTGCTCATCCACCATTGTCCATGTGATGTTCTTTGCTCTAGCTTTTGAAATGGATTGCTTGTTTTTATGTCCTTAAGAGAATATTCTACTATAATGGGATATTCGACCTGGAAGAGGTTGAACCTTCCCACAGTCAACAGAGTCTCCCCAGGGTTCTGGACATAGATCAAGAAGCCAGTTTTTGGCTTAAGAGGGAACACTTAAGTGTCCTGGGTGGCATTAGACATTGCCCAACAGACATCGTCAGCGCTGGGCGGAGGGGTTGAGAGAAGATTCGGTGAAAGTGGTCCATGGCGCTCTGTCAACTGTGGGGCCTTTATGCATCTCCTGGCTGTTCTGAACACTAGAATCTCAAGGGCAAAGCGTGGATTTGGAAGCTTTATGGCCTGAAGCTGTAAGTTCCCTCATACCAGAAGCACTTTCTTAGCAAGGAAATGAAGCTACATGAAGAAGAAGGTTAGACGGGATGCCAGCTACAGAGCACTCCCAGTGCTTCCTGGAAGGGTTTGGAAAACACTGTGTGCCCTGAGAGGCAGCTCTGCCATGTGGGCTGCAGCCCTGGGGAGCTCTCTCCTTTGCTATTTTTTTTTCCTTTTGGCAGATGTTTGTATGGAAATGTGATCTTTAATTCCTTAAAGACCCATCTCTCTGGAGTTAATTCCTCTTTTGAAGTCATAATCTTTTGGGTAATGCTTTCTGGTCACCTTGACTCCAAGTAAAGTGTTATATGTGACAGAAGGGGAAAATTAAGTGGGCTTTTTGCGTGCCATTTGAGCATAAAAGAAGATAACCACAGTGGTTGGAGGCCAAGACACGGAGGTGGTCAATTTCTGAAGCCCTGTGGAAATGGAGTTTGGCCGTCTTACGTCATTCTTGACAACTAGCATCTAATTTAATTCTTTCATCAATACAGAAGCACTCAAAGGAGGCGAACAAATCTGATTTTCTTCTCAGGCATTTCCATTATGATGGATGTTTCCCTGATACTCGTAAAGAGCAAAGCTGCAAATTCATGTGAACCCTCTAGGTTTGGGGCAGAGCTGTTGGTCACGTGGGACCTGTCTTGAGATTCACACTGCTCAAAGTTGCTAGTATGGGAAACGGGAGACTGAGACCTCACCATTTGTTGATATTTGCCTGTTCTGGCTAGGGCCCGAAGTCCTTCCCAGTTTCCAGGGCTACTTCAGGAAACATAGAGAATGTGTTCTTGGGAGACCCTTTGGCTATTTCCAGCTCCCCAGGACTTGAACAGCTGCAGACCTGGGGCAGAGCTGCTGTGCAGGTCTCTGCTCTGGATTCCTCCTCTGTCCCCTGCAGAGAGTGGGAGTCTATAGGATGCAACTGGACCTGAGAATGGAAGGAAAGTGCCCAAATATGCGGTGCTCCTTACTTTCCCCCTCCCCCTCCAGCTGCTAGAGAATGGCCAACCGACTGGGATTGCTGGGAAACATTCCATATTCATAGTTGCTAAACTTGACCTATGTATTAGAATAATACCTTTTTCTGAATGAGCTGTCAGCCTCTCTCGGAACTAAATGGTGAGGACCACACAGTGTGAGCACTCAGTTTAACAGAGCGATGCAGCCCATTTACTAATAGGCACATTGTGGTTGAAACTTTGGAAAGAACACTAAACTTCACATGCATTTATATTCTCTCATTTTCTTGTTCTATTAAAAATGTCCAAACAAATTCCGTGTGTGGGAAGGAAGGGCATGTTAGCACTGAGTAATGAAGAAAATGCAGTAATGCTAAGCCAGTTGAGTCTGTTCAACACATTCCTTCCTTTGTGTTGCAGAAGACGTGACACATGGATGTCGAGTGGCATGAGGAATGAGTAGTTCCAGACTTTTCTTTTGGGTGGATGGCAGGGAGTGGTGGGGGTTGTGTGGAGAACCTGTGTCCTTCCATCTGGAAAGGGGCCAAGACTGAGCAGAGCAGGCAGGAGTCTGAGCCGCCCAGGGCTCCAGCAGCTCTCATGTCAAGGGCTGTTGTGATCGGTCACCCTCTGGCCCCACCCATGCTGGGCCTGGTAACCTGCAGGCCAGGCCAGAAAGCCAGCCACCCTAGAAAATCTGGATGAAGGCGGACTTCTTGATGGCCAGTCAAACCCACAGGAGCAGACTTTTCTAGTCAGTCTTAGAGGAAAGCAAAGCATTGAGGCACGTAGTGGCAAAGAGCACGTGTTCAAATCCTCGGTCGGTCACGCCTGCTCGTGCGTCACCTGTGGCACATCACTTACTCGCTCATGCCTCGTCAGTTAAAACATTTAGAATCTGGCACCTAACTGATACTTAGTAAGTATTAGCTATAATTACGTCTGCTTCTGTAAATTTACGTGGGCATTGCGATGTCAGAAGCTCTGATGCTGGTCCCGTGGGTGAGAGCTCCAGGAGCTTGCTGGTGTCTAGTAGATGGTGTGCTCAGGACTTCTTTAATTCTTGGCCCTCAGGCCTTGGCGGTCCACTCTGGGTGAGACGCTTCTGTCCTTAGAGCAGTCACCAGGGTTTGGGGTTTTGGTATGTGATAAACATCTCCCTTAAGAGAGGAGAGACACCTCTGTGCGTGTGTGTGTTGCATCTTTGTAGACGGGCCACGCGTGTCATCTTTCAGTGTCCGTCTAGCCTGGCCTGTCTCATCTTAGCAGGCCTGTGTATTTTAGCACAGAGGTCTGAAGAGGTTCAGAATCTAGGTACTGTGCTGGTAACACTTACCGCAATCCGAGAAGGCAGTTCCCAGTAAAAACAGGGAATATTTATTGCAGGTGTGTTATTTGCCCACCACCTTTCCAAGGGCTCTCCCAGTATGGACTCATTTACTCTTTACAATATTCCAATAAGATGGTTACCAATTTTATCCTATTTTTTTAGATGAGGAAACTGAAGCTTAGAATTAGGAAGCTGCCTGAGGTCGTACAAAGGTGGCAGAGCTGATATTTGAAGCTGGGAATGTTGCTTCTTTCCCATCAGCCACGGTAGATGTGAATCGCTGTGGAATAAACAGACCCCACAGTCCTGGCCTCCCCCTGACGGGGACGCCAGTACTGCTCTGAAGCACAGCGTTGCCCAGACTGTGTTTGTGGTGGGGCGGCCGTGTGCTAAACCCTTGGACTCACTGCCTAGAAAAGGAGGGCAGCAAATGTGTGGCAGCTTTGTGATCAGTGCACCCCTGGAAGTGGAACTAAGGAGTAGAGGCAGCTCCAAAACGAAACCGTGAAGGAGGGGAATATCTCCTGGGGAGGTGGCTTCTGAGCCAGGTTTTGAAGAATAAGTAGAAATTCGCTAAGCATACTGAGTAGGACACAACAGGCAGAAGAGATAGCCTGCAGAGGACAGCGGTATGAAATGGGTTTTAAGGTGGGGGGACTGCAGGTCCTTTCGTGTGGCTGAATGGTTAAGTCACAGAGGGAAATGTCGTGCGTGTTGAGACCAGAGAGGCAGAAAGAGCCAGAAGACAGGGCCTGATTGCCACGCCAGGGACCCTGACTTTATCCTGAACGTGTAGGCAATTTAGTATCATAGTTTTAACACAAGGTCAAGGGGCCGGCCCATTGGCGTAGTGACTGGGTTCATGCGCTCTGCTTTGGCAGCCTGGGGTTTGCAGATTCGGATCCTGGGCGTGGACCTACACACCGCTCATCAAGCCATGCTGTGGCGGCGTCCCACATACAAAATAGAGGAAGATGGCACAGAGGTTAGCTCAGGGACAATCTTCCTCAAGCAAAAAGAGGAACATTGGCAATGGATGTTAGTGCAGGGCCAGTCTTCCTCACCAAAAAAACCCAAAAAACGAAAAAACCAAGGTCAAAATCCCCAACCTTGAGGCAGTTAGTAGTACTGTTTTCTCTCTGGTCTTATTATGATGATTATTGAAGGAGAAGATACAAAAGCCAATAAGCTCCATATGTGATATGTATTGCCATTGCCCTCAAGAATGTTGTTTTTTAAATCTCCTCCACTCCTTTCTCCATTTTTTCATCAGCAGTTCTCTTTGGCAAATGTTATTCTCAGATACCAGGGTAAGTACTTTTGAGAGTTGGTTTTTTTTTTTTTTTTATGTTTTTTTAAGTGGCCTCTGATTGCCTAAGAGCATCACGTAGAACTGTTTCCAGTAGTGTCTTTATAGCAGGAATGAAGGCTAAGACTGGTTATGTAATCGTTTCCTTAATTTATTCTCAGAACCTAACAAGCTGCCAGCGTATAAAAAAACCTAATGATCATAATGGCATCTGAGTGTCTTTCTGGCACTGTTGCTCTTGCATTGTTTACTGAGGAGTAGAAATCAGTGGTTTAAAAGTGGCATGACTGTTGGCTCAGCACTGGGCACCCCAGACTCGTAGCTCTGTCTCCCCATCTTGCATGTGCTGCCCACAGCCAGCAACTCTCACCGGAGGAAGGATTCGTGTGTACGCATTAGAGACCTTTGCCGGTGTCTCGCACGTTAACATCTGGATAAGGAGAGGCAGCCTACTTCTGCTGTGCTGACGTTGCATTTTGCAAGGAGCACAGAATCCCATCTGTCCAAGGAGGTGGCGGGAGTGTGCAAATATTGCTTTGAATTCCATGACTGATTAATTGCTATAGAATTTTTCTTTAATTTAAATCTTTGCATTTAGTTAGTTTGTTTGTTGTTTGTTTTTATTTTTATTTTTTAGAATAGTCCTTGTCAGTGGCAGAAGATCCTTCTGTAGTATATTTTCCGTGCTGCCGTATCGTGACAGTGCCCAGGCTGGGTATGTATATGCATGCTTGCTTTGTGGTTCTCTGGGTGAAAAGTGCAGACACCGTGTGCATAGTGTGGCTGCACTTTCCATTTCAAAGAACTTCCCTTACTTTGACATTGCAAATTCAGTATTTGTAAATTTGAAAGGAAAAAAAAAATTCCGCTTTCTTTTCAGCTAGAAAGCTTCCTTGTTATTTTGTGTGTGCACATGTGTGCACGTGTCCTCACCACATTGCCTGCTGTTTCTTTCCTTTTTGTTTGTTTTTTATTGAGGTGTAATTGACATACAGTATTATATTAGTTTCAGGTGTACGTCATAGTGATTCGTATTTATAGACATCACAAAATGATCACCACGTTGTGTAGTTACCCTCTGTCACCATACAAAGTTATTGCAATATTATTGACTATATTCCCTATGCTATATATTACATCCCTGTGACTTATTTATTCTGTAACTGGAAGTTTGTACCTTTTAATCCCTTCCATCTATTTCGCCTACCCCCACAACCCCTCTCCCCTCTGGTAACCGCCAGTTTGTTTTCTGTATCTGTGAGTCTATGCCTGTTTTATTTTGTTTGTTTGTTTTGTTTTTTAGATTCCGCGTGTAAGTGAACTCATACAGTATTTGTCTTTCTCTGCCTGGTTTATTTCACTTAGCATAATACCTTCTAGGTCCATCCATGTTGTCACAAATGGCAAGATTTCATTCTTTTTTATGGCTGAGTATACTCCATTGTATATGTGTACATTTTGTCATCTCTTCCATTTCTGTAAAGCCAAGAGCAACATGGGGCCACCCCATTCCGCAGGGCCTTGTTGACTTTTGGAGAAAGGTAGGTCAGGAAAGGAATCAGACAAACCATGTGGCCATCCTACCTCCTTGCATCTTGGGCTTGGGGCTGGAAACTGACCAGCAGTTGGAGCAGAGTGGTACCAGGAACAGACCTGTGTGATTCGCCACAGGCCAGAGGAACGCTCACCTCTCTAGGTCAACAAGCCCCTCCTTTTGCTCTGAAAAAAAGGAGGTAAGTGAGGCTCTGTCCTTGCAAAGCCTCCCCTTCTCATTCCCTGTCCCGAACTCTATGCTCATTAGTCTCGACTCCCTCGCCCCCTCACCTGTTCACTGCATCCGATGTTTGTCGTCAGGGAGCTGCTGGTATTCAGGGCAGGGCAGTTCACTGTGTAGGATGCCGGGAGCTTGTGGGGTGTCAGCTCTGGCCTCTGCAAACTAAATGCTGGGATTGCCCTCTGGTCGTTGTGATAACCACACACTAGCACACATCACCAGTGCCCCGTGGGAGGGCACTATGGCCCCTCGTGCTGATGCGCCACTTATTCGTCTTCCACAGTCTTCCATGAGGTCTCCATCGTCATTCCCACTCACCTGGCCTTCCCTTTCCCCCTGTACTCCTGTCAGACTTCCAGCCTGTTCAGTTCACCATAATCATTATTTGTACCCGACACCATAAGCCTTATGGGACAATGTAGCACATTTTATTCATGGCATCCTAACTTGATCATTTATCAGATGTGTGCCTTAAAGAGCAATAATAAGTCTTACTGTTGATTGAGCACTTACTTTGTGCTGGTCCTCTTTGTTATCTACATCTCTGTGACAACCTTGCAAAGGAAGTGTTCTAGAAACAGTAACAGCAAATCCTGTGGCTTAGAGGTTCAAGAACCGCCTGGGCGTGGACAGCAGGCTGACCTTAGGAGACGTCACAGGGAGTCTTCCTTCAGCTTCTCAGCTTCCTGTGGGCCTGGGCCTGGCTGCCCCTGAGAGCAGACTCATTCCCTAGAGACACTAGCTTCTACCACCTCGCAGCCCAGAAGGCCAGCTCATTCATCTTATTACCAGAAGTGGCCCCCGGTGCCAGAGTATTTGAGTGTGGCCAGCCTGTAAGCATACTTCCAGGGGCATCTGAATCATCGGTGGGATGCTGTCTGCATGCGTGTCCTCTCACGGCCAGGGCTGGCATGGGCACTGCGGTCTCTGCCTTATTTTTCTGGGTTTCCCTTGCTGACCTTTCTGGTTGTTGTATTCTTTCCTTAGCTATGTTCCCTTCATTCATTTATTGAGTGCTTACTGTGTGACTAGGTACTGGGATAAAGGTAGTGAAAGATGGACCTGGGACCTGCCCTCCCAGAACTTACAACCAAGAGAGGGGACGCACAAAAATTCGCATATGATTGGTTCCCGCTTTTAGTAAAGGCTGAAGATACCAAGACAATCTGGCTTCTCCATGCTTTCGTCTTTGAAGTGTTGATGTTAGTTTCATTCTGGAAGGATGATCTTATCTCCAAGCTCTGAGGTCCCCTCATTATGGTACCCATGTGCTTATCCTCATTTTATAGATAAGACCACTGATCCTCGAAGGTTAAGGTCTCAAACACCAACTTTGGGCCAGAATGGGAATTTGAACCAGAGCCTGTCCAGCCCTAGGATTTTCCAGACCCACCCTGGCCAACAGGCCAGACGAGCTCCGTGTTCACAGAAACCCGTCTGTGAAATGGAACTTTTATAATAACTGCCTCCAGGGTCCCTCAGACTCGCAGGGTAACTGGGTACAGGTCCAGCCTGGCACCTGGTACACAGAGAGGTGGGTGGGGCCAGCTTGTCAAGGACCCTGGATTTCTTACAGCAAACCAAGTGTGGGAGTCAATATGGAGAACTTGGGAGACTGACAGTTTTTCCCCTGGGCAAATCACTTACCTTCTGTGAGCCTCTGTTTGTTCCTCTGCAGAATGGGGGTGGCAAGTTACTACCTTGTGTCGTTAATTTGAAGATCACAGCGTTTTATGCAAAGCCAATAGGAATATGTTTTAACTTCAGTTACCCGGGAAGAACGCGCTCAGATTATCTCTGTTTGACATCCTGGTGGAAATACATGGCCCTGCACGGGGCAGCCTAGGTGCTGGGGAATGGTGTCTGTCAGTGCCCAGGTCTCCCTCCACAGTCCTGGGAAGGCCTTGTGTGTTTCAGGAGGATTACCAAGAGGTTCAGCTCCTCTGCTGGTTGGCCCCAGATGAAGAAGCAAAGGGAATGTGTGGGCTCACAGGACATAACCTTTTACAGCTTAGACATGAGTAAACTCAAACTTACCGCACCTTCAAATTTTATAGATGAGGAAATCCAGGTGCAGAAAGGTTAGTTTTCTATAACAAAACCCATAATCGAATCCTTTGTACTGCCTAGCAGAGAAAGGAACATGCTTGTTTCTGCGGCATATTCTACTTAAGTACTCACATAAGAAACTGAGCACAATTCAAAATATCGTAATTTAGAATTAGTATTTGGGTGGTGAACATGATGTAATCTATGTAGAAATAGAAGTATAATGATGTACACCTGAAATTTATACAATGTCATAAACCAATGTTACTGCAATAAACAAAAAATTTTAAAAAAAAATCATAATTTAGCAGCAGGATTAAGAAGCATTCTGCTTTTTAAGTTTTTTAATGAACAGACATCCTATTTATGAGTAACTGCCATTTATCATAGTTATGATTTTCTTTACTAATTTTTAGGAAACAGCTATGCTCAAATAATAAAAATATTTGTACTACTAAATTATATACATATATATTTTAAACTAGTTTAGTTCATACACATATTAACTAATACCTTTCCACGGTGGAAAATTCCTTTACTTCTATGCTAAAGCTCTCTTTGTGACTAGGACGTAAGTCACAGAATTTCAGGGACGGAAAGGACTTAAGAGATGATGTGGTGCGGCCTCCTTGCTTCGCAGCATGAGCCCTGGAGGCCCAGGGGGTGCAACTCACCCACTCCCAGCAGAGCTGGCAACACCGAACCCAGGCCTCTGCCTGCCAGCCTGCGAACTTTGTGGATTCTAGTTCCCAGGCTTCTGTTGTACTTAGGCACATGGGCCGGGCCACATGTGCCTGATTCTTCCAGACAAGCATGTACCCCCCTGCTGAAGGGGGTAATGTACAGTTCCAGCTTCATCACAAGCACGTTTAAAAACAGGAAACTCAAAAGTTCATCCACTGTGTACTTGAACCTCCTTTGCATGGAAAGCATCTTATCAGGATGGTCTTATCTCTTTCCGGTTTTGTTTTCTGGCTTCTCATGCTGCACTGAAGTTTCCCAAGTCCGGCTCTCACATCTTGGCTTACCCTCCCTCCCACCCTGACCCCAAAGCTTTGTTCTTGGTTTTAAACTGAACCGAACACTTATTTTGGCTCCTGACATCAGTTGACCAAAGCAGACAGGCTAATCTTAGGACAGGGTTTTACCATCCATTCATTCATTCATTGACTCATGTATTAATTCATTCGTGCATTCAGACATTTCTTCTGGTCCCAGTGAGCATGAGGCCCTGATGGAGGCTGGGAGGGTGCAGGGATGGGTAAGACTCGCTCTCCAGGAGCTTATCATCGAGCAAGGAAGCCAGACGTGTGGACAACCAAACCAAGACAACTGGGGAGCCCCAAAGAGGTGCTAGAGAGGGCTTTGCCCCCAAATCTTTATCAACGTCCACATTTACAATAAATCTACAATCTTCAGTAAAAGACAAGGGTCTGTTATGTGAAGTCTCTTTATCCCCACCCATCCCTCCAAGTACATTGCCGTCCCTGCCCGCCTCCTATGTAAAAGTGCAGGCGCTACCACCGCACAGTGGAATTCATTCATTCACTCCACAAAGTCTGTTGAACCTACTGTGTGCCAGGCGCTGTTCTAGGCAGTTAGGGATACAGTGGTGAACAGGAAAACGCTCTTTCCTCATTACCCTCTAATGGTAGGAGATGGAAACAAGCGAGTAAACAAACTAACCATCAAACAGAAGGGCAAACAAGTGAGTCCCAGGCAGTGTGCAGCTGGAGCACAGAGGGAGGAGTTCAGTGAATTCAGATGGAGCCATCAGGGAGTGCTCCCCAGAGAAGGTGGCTCTTCAGCTAGACATGGAAGTTGAGGTCTTAGAGAAGTGGAGAAGGATATTCCAGCCTTAAAGTTGACTTCTGAGGATGTCAGAAGATGAT